CCAAAACTCCCAATTTCCAAACCCCCCAATTCCCAAGTCCCCCAGTCCCCAACCCCCAATTCCTAACGTACCAAACTTCCAAATCCGAAGCTCCCGAAAGTAATCCCCTTCAGTCCTCATTACAATATCAAAATTAATTTGCAGTTGGTACACGAGTACGGTACACACAATGATTTCAACACGTAAATGATATTCGGTATTAATCTCTTTAATAACCGCAACGTAATTACTACTTTACCTTTGAAGCTTCATACGCCATAAATTTAATCAGATTCATAATGTAATATTAATATTAAAATTTAATACCATCTTTTCATCAAACTTAATTAATAAATTGTACCTCTATACGGGAACATTTGCATAACCTTTCCTTCTACAAAATTAACTCACGTTAATTTTCCAACTATTTACGATTGCGTATTTAATTACTGTCCAGGATGAAGCACCTTACATCACGCGATTGGCTTTGCCGCCCGACTACGACAACGTCGTCGAATTCATGTGCGAAGTATACTACAAACACGACCCAGCAATCCAGAACATTGGACTATCCGGCACAGAGGCGCCTCTAATTTGGAGGAAAATGATGGACGATCAAGTGAAACAGGGATTGTCGATCATCGCGGAAAATCGTGAACACTGCATCATCGGCGCCGCCCTAAATTGCCCGGTGACCAAACAAGAGATACAAATGTTCTACGATTTAGCGAAATGCTGCGAATGCGGTACTCTTCAGAAGGTAATCCAGTTCTATGGTTACGTGGCCGAGGCCGCAAGGGTCTGGGATCGTTTCTGTGTCCACACCGTCTTCGAACAAGCCACTTTAATCGTCAACGAAGAGTACCGAGGTATGGGCATCGCTAAAAGACTCGTACAAGAAAGTTGGATACTGGCACGCGATTGTGGATATCGATTGTTTCGGATGGACTGCCTTAGCAGGTATCTTGATCTTGTTTATTAAATTCTTTGATATTTGATCCTTACTTTCTTTCAACTTCATACTTCTATGTAGTTTTTTAACAATTTATTAGTATTATACAGGAGGAAGTTTGTTTTCAGACAAACTACCCTATGTAGTTCGTCAACAATATATTATAATCATACAGGAGGATGTTTGTTTTCAGACAAACTACCTTATGTAGTTCTTCAACAATTTATTATAATCATACAGGAGGATGTTTGTTTTCAGACATTCTACCCTATGTCCTTCTTCAGCAATTTATTATTATCATACAGGAACAGACATTTTTTTTCAAACATACCACCCTATGTACTTCTTCAGCAATTTATTATTATCATATAGGAAGAGAAATTTTTTTCAAACATATTACCCTGTGAACTTCTTCAACATCTTATTATAATCATACAGGAGGATGTTTGTTTTCAGACATACTACCCTATGTACTTCTTCAGCAATTTATTATTATCATACTGGAATAGACATTTTTTTTTCGAACATGCTACCCTGTGAAATTCTTCAGCAATTTATTATTATCATACAGAAGGAAGTTTGTTTATAGACAAAGTACCCTATGTAGTTCTTCAACAATATTTTATAATCATATAAGAGGATGTTTGTTTTCAGACATACTACCCTATGTAGTTCTTCAAGTACATATAATTATCATACAAAAAAAATTTGTTCGAAAGGAAATAACTTGTGCAGGCATAAAAAGTTTCATACGTTCCTAGTGTTCCATTCACTTGATTTAAAGAACTTCTCTGATGTGCAGTTTCGGCGCGAGAATATGCGAAGGTTTCGGATGGGAAGAAGTTTGGAGAATGCCATATAGCGGGTACGTGAGCAACTGCGAGATAGTTTTCAAATACGTGAAAGAACCACACACTCAGTGCCGAGTATTCGTGGATCACCTGCAACGCTGCAAGACTTATTGTCCACCGTACAAAAAGTGTCAAAAGGTCACCCGTACGCCTGCCTGACGTCGGCTCGTTAATAATCAAATTGCAAATTATTATAATAGTTATTATTATTACGGTCAGTAAACAATGTGCCTGTACTGTAACGCAGAGCAATTCGCCGCTAAAATCAACACTGAATATAGAGATTATTATTGCTTTTGGTTTCCACAAGCCAACTTGCAACATTATTGTAACCCCGGGCGTTGTTTGAGTTCGGTGTTTAACGTTTCGAAAATTGTGATAATTGTAATGCTGCGTTGTAATTACATATCGTTCTGCGAAAGCGTTATGTTAACAATTGCGAGTTAATTATAAAATGTAAACATATTTGATTAATTGGAATACTTAATTATGGGGTTGCTCGCCACCGCACGGGGATTCTGGTTAACAATTTTTATCGTAAATATTACTAATTAGTGGAATGAAAATATTTGCAAATTCGTAACGCATGACGCTAAATAATAACGGATCTAATTTGTGAAATATGTAACATACGTAAATTGAGACGATGCGATTTTTATTCTATTACCACTTTACGTAATTTTCTCTTCTACTGGACTTCTGATAAAAAAGATATTTGATATCCTCGAAAAAGAAGTTTATTGTGAAAATGTGTTGGTATTTTCTTACGCAAAATTGCTACTCTTATATCGCGCAAGACGGTTTCTACGTTGGTTAGGTTACTTGATAAATTTCGTCATGTTTCGCGTAGCCGAGAGTCAATCTCGGAATTATATATTACAGTCTCACCGCTGTTGCTACATTCTATCCCTTTTTGTCAGCTGTCACGAAAGTTGCGAGACAGAAAATTGGAAATCACGTTTAAACAGACCGAAACCAACGAAGAATTCGCGGGTTCAACGACCGACCGAGCTGTCGAACACGCGAAAGTTCGCCAATCGAACGGAATAAAGCGCGGTAACGTTCAAATGAAATTCTCGATATTTGACTTGTAAGCTAGTCCCGACTTTCGACTTTCACGACCCCCGGAATTACAAATGTCGACGGAGTTTTGAATCGGAAGCGAATTCGATTATATGGCAACTTCCGCCGAACAAAAGTTTGACGATCGCGAAACGCCAATTAAACACAGTCGAGTAACAATAGTTCCCTGAACACGTTGTTGTTACGTCTGAGTACATACATCATGCAATCAAACGGATTCGTGTAATTCCTACTTTCTTTCACTATTGCGAATTACATCTCCGTATGAAATCACGTGTTAGTTTGTCACGTATAACGTTACATAACACGTGTTAAATTACCTCGTGTTATATTGCCACTCGGTGTGTTGCATTACTACCTGGTAAATCAAGTTAGATTACCACATATTGGTTCGTTTAGATTACATAGGGTTGGATTACTACACGTTAGATTATTACGCGTTGGATTACTGCACGATAGATTACTACCCGCTAGGTTACCACATGTTAGATTATCAAACGTGAGATCACTACGTGTCAGATTATCAATCGTTAGATTACCACGTATTAGATCACCAAACTAAGACTACCACATATTAGATTACTATGCGTTAGATCTGCACTGATTGGAATACTGCTCGTTAAATTACTACACGATAGATTACTACCCGCTAGGTTGCCACATGTTAGATTAACAAACGTGAGATCACTACGTGTCGGATTATCAATCGTTAGATTACCACGTGTCAGATTACCAAACTAAGACTACCACATATTAGATTACTATGCGTTAGATCTGCACTGATTGGAATACTGCTCGTTAAATTACTACACGATAGATTACTACCCGCTAGGTTGCCACATGTTAGATTACTACCCGCTAGGTTGCCACATGTTAGATTAACAAACGTGAGATCACTACGTGTCGGATTATCAATCGTTAGATTACCACGTGTCAGATTACCAAACTACGACTACCACATATTAGATTACTATGCGTTAGATCTGCACTGATTGGAATACTGCTCGTTAAATTACTACACGATAGATTACTACCCGCTAGGTTACCACATGTTAGATTAACAAACGTGAAATCACTACGTGACGGATTATCAATCGTTAGATTACCACGTATTAGATCACCAAACTAAGACTACCACATATTAGATTACTATGCGTTAGATTTGCACTGGTTGAAATACTGCTCGTTAAATTACTACACGTTAGATAACTGTACGTCAGAGTACCATGCATTGCGTTATATGTATAACTACATATAGCTACGCCTTAAATAGCTACACGTTAGATAACTGCACGTTGCATTACCACATGTTAGATTATCAACCATTGAATTATAAAATGAAAGATTACCACGAGTTAAATTACAACAACAAGATATGAGGTCTTTCTATAAAAAGTCCGAAACTCACAAACTGCTTTTACATACATGTTACAAAAGAAATTCCTGCCAGAGAGTTAATCCACGACAAAGAACAATAAAATGTCGTAACACTTTTATCTCATTAAGTATTAACTGTGTTAATTCCGTTAGCTTCCGGGTAAACGTTAAGCCGATAGGTAACCAGAGAACTTCAGCCTCGGAGCGGTTTAAATGTACGTTCCGCATAAAGGCTCTTTCATCTTCGGCAAAACGAGCACGCAACATGGCCGCAGAATCAAACGAGACACTCCACAAAGGGATGGAATAACAGTAATTACAAAGTGCGGCTTTTATTGGCGCAATTAAACGGCGAACCCATACATAAATCTTTATTTAACGGGTTTTAAACGTGTCCAAGGGAACGGCGGAAAAAAATTCTGGTTGTCCGAGCCGAGACCGCCGTGGAATTACTTTAAACAGTCGGCGTAAATTAGCTTTAATCAGAAGAGGTGTCATTCTTTCGGATTAAACAGGACCCCCATTTATAGCACTGTAAAACGGTGCTGTGTGACGAGGAAATTAACGTTGGAGCCGCTTTGGGCGGACATAAAGCCTTGCTCGTTCCTTTTTTCCACCATTTTTCTGTCACTATGAAATGTCTCCGTTTTGTTCGAGACGAACGTGCACTGAAAAGTATTTGCTCATTTATACTTTCTTAAAATATGCCTTTATTTTTTCCAAATATGTTTGCGTGGAAATTAGGCAAATTTTTGTTAGCTTTGGATGTTGGACATATTTACGTGGATATCGATGAAGATTGATATTCATTTCAGTTCATTATGTATATTAGTGATAAAATCACAACCAGAGTATCAGAAGTATCCTAATAGTTCTACAAACATACTTCTACCAAATGGCGAACTTCTGAATTTATCAAATAAATATGAGCTGTATGAATGCGTGAAGAGCGAAAATCGTCCAGTAACGACCACTTATGAACCCCGTGAAGAGAGTCACATCATTAAACTCTCGACGTCATCGTGAATATGCCAAACGATACAGCGACGCAAGAAGATGTCTAAATGTAGCTGATCATAGTTTCAATCCAGCAGTAGAAGGATTACGTGGAATGTTCGATGATAAGGAGTTCGAGAAGATAGGTAGAGTATCAGCAAACGGAACGGAGCCGTTCTAAATGCTAACGAGCCTCTCGAAGAAACTCCTGTCGAGGAGGCTAGCATTCGAGGCCGACGGATGTTCATTCTTAGTCGATACACGCGTACTTGGCACGTAAGCGCATGCATTAAATGCATTTCCAGTGTACGTCGAATCAAAATCAAATCGAGTTTGGAACGTGGTCGGATGGTTGCGGAACCAAGGAGACGGTTAGAATCTAGCCCGACCAAGAGACGACGTCGGTCCCCTAACTCACCCCGAAGTTTCTCAACTGTAATTCCGACTCGATAGTTGCCACGGTATTACGGAACTACGCACACCACCCTAACTCCATTAATCATTACGGCTCTGAGATCGGCACTGGATCGTTTTTGAGAGGAGAACCGAACGAACAGTCGCTACGATTCCAATCCTAATCCATCTTGGATGGTATACTTACGAGGGACGTCGATCTTCCGCCTTCAGATCGACCTCGACTCTTCTGGTTACGACCACGTCCCCCTGCTCTATTTTCGACACACCTCCTTTCATTGCACTCTAATCTGCCTTTATCGCCTTACTTAAAACCCAATTGGAACTATGAATCGTGGTTCATAAAGAAGGTAACATTTAAAAATCTTCAAGCTAGAAATTAGGGAATTTGCAAAATTCAGCTCGGAAATAGCTCATTAGGAATTTAGTTCTTTCAGATGAATTTCTCAGAGTAAACTTAAAACTGAATGTCAAATTAAAACTTGCTTAATGGTCTAAACGAAGAATCCATGTTGCATTAATGACGAAATTTCGACTGAGAACTTCTCTCGTTAAATTAATTAGTGTTCTTTGCCTCTCTCAATAATTTAACAAATCAATTCGTGTTCATTTCCAGCATCCTAATCCCTGATGACGAAATTCCGGATGGTACACGAATTCTCCGTAGACGAAGCGATGTCACCGGCAAAAGGGATTCCCGTTTCTCCTCGAGGCCCAGTTTGACGTTTGTCGGGGTTTCCTTGCACTTGGACACGCCGTGCTTAATCTGCATAATTCTAACTACCGGTGTAGCAGATCCTCGTGTATTTCGCGGAACACGCGCGTCTAACACCCGCAATTCCACTAATATCAGAAATTGTTCGCCGAATTGAAATAGTTCGGGCTTAGACTCGCCTGATCCTCGAGCTATCGTCCTGGCCATGCGTGCGTCGTAATAGTTTCATTTCGGAGACGCTCCTTCCTAAATTGTTTCGCGTCGGAAACGTTGTCGCCTTTGCCAGATCGTTCACCGGATGAAATTCACACGCGTTAATCCACGTCCTGATATTCCGTTATAAACGCGGAACAGTCTAATCGAAGTTAATGGGCCTTTGATATGCACCATTCCGTTTGACGAGCGATAGCAGACACGAATTAGCGATATTCGTAGCATGAAATCGATATGGAGTAAGACGAATTTCACGAATTCCCTTAAGATGTCCTGGACTCTCGTTCCTACTCTCACTACTTTCATACTAATACAAAATATATATAAAATATAAAGAAGAATATTTTTCCTATACGATATA